AAAAGTAAATCAGAGCTAAAAAAGTGTAAAAACGCAGGCAAATTTGCCTGTATTCTACTACAATCTAAGGGATAAAATAAGCTAAGTATAAAGAAATTTTGCTGTAAAAACTTATCTGCCTATAGCCCATAATAACATATACTAACTTTTCAAGTAAAATTTTACTCTCGAATATGACTACTAATTCAACGCCTAAAAATGTTTCATATATTAAAAACCTTGCTTTAAATATTCTTAAAAACAGCTCCCAAGAGGTTATTACAAAAGGTGTTGAAATTCCAGAACTAGATCCATGCTCAAAGTGTAAAAAAGAGCTTTTTTGTATAAACTTAAAAAACTATTTACCATACTTATCTGTGGACATATATACTACTATAGTTGTCTTGAGGATTATGTAAAAGATCTTCCACAATACCCTGAATGTGCAATAGAAATTGAGCCTATTGTCAATACACCAAGTACCACTGACCTAATACAAATTTTGCCACAATTAGTATCTGGGCAGAGCCAGAATATAATAATCTCAGAAGCAATAGCATTTCGTGTCTCTAACCTCAATTTATCAAATCTTCTATTATATCCAAATTATATAAAGCAGGCTCAAAAAAGACCTAGTGAAGATACTACTAAAAATAAATCATTCAGTAAAAAACCAAAACAGAATAAAGAAAAAGGTGATAAAAAAAATTCAAATACTGTAAGAAAGCTCATTGTAGAATTATTATATAACGACACAGAACAAACCACTTCAGATACCAACAATTCTTATCCTCTAACAGCTACTGAAACTGACCCACAACCTATTGATTTTCTTAATTTATATACTAAAATTACCTCTGCTGAAAGTAAAATCCAAAAACCAAACCAGAATATAATTATCCAGTATTATAACTTTGGATTAGATATAGCAAAACGCTTCAAGTTCTATTATGAAAAATCATATAATGTAAATGACGCTAATAGCAAAGTTAAAAAAGAAATTGAAAAACAACTTCCTGATGGTACTTCTGAAACTACTATTCGGAAAAGAAATGAAAGAGCCCAAAAGATTTTTTATATATTTAGTAAGATAGAAACAAGTAAGATAGGGCGGGTAAAATCTTTTAGTACATTAACAATTGCTAAATTAACTGTAGATCAAATTAACTATGTAATATCTCAAATTCCGGATAAAACCCCAACAGAATCATTTGTATAAGTCATATGTACGTGACCTCTTGAGGTCACAATTACATGATTACTGCGCCATATATTAAATTTGATGCATTCTATGTAAAGGGTTTAAAATTTTTAGCGTTCTATATAAAAAAAATAAAATTTGTTATATGTTTGTATCGGTATACAAAAAAATTTCTATAAATAATAATTCTGGCTTATGCATAATTTGTTTGTAGGCAAAGACATAATTGCCACATATTATAGGTTTGTATTGTATAAAAAAAATTAGCACGTATAAATTATTTTTTCTTCTGTTAATATATAAAATGATAAAAAATCATAACAATACATATACAAATAAAAAAAGACAAAATCACTTCGAAAAGTGGCACATCTTTAAAGGGTGAAAATACGGATATAAGGTTTGCAACGAATGCAATCATCACTCACATCTATATTGCAAAGCATGCAAAAAAGTAGCAGATGGAATATATGGGCGATGTGAATGTGAAAATTCTCTAAGGGAAGAGGCAAATAACTAACCCAATTAGAGGTAGTTAGTAAAGTAGTACAGTACGGTAGTACAAATTTGTACGTACGGACGTAAATTGGGCGAGATTTTGATA